CTGCAAGCGGGTAGCCTGTCCTGTAGCTTGCTTCCCGACAACTCTGCAAGGAATCTGCTGCTGCGCATGAAAAGTTACCGACTATGGGCCATTGGCCAGCTTGATATAACTGTGGCTACCAGCGAGTTCTTGCTGTCTTTCCTTCATATTGGCAGAATGTGCAGATGGCGGTAAGCTTGCGGCTTATCAGGTGGGAGTGTCCTAGCTCTCCAGTCTCCATCCACCACGACTCGTCAAAGCCATCCATACAGATCCCTGGCTCTTGGAACAGTCGCTTCTAGCTAGCACTATAATGCCTTCAACTGACTCTCCACGGCCACCCGGGCTGTGGGTTTCGGCCTGGGGAATCCGGAATGTAGCGAGTGGCTCCAACTCGTACGTTGCAGCAACCAGTAGGTATTGCATTGGTCAACCACCTGGCTCTACGAAACATCGAGCTTACGTGTACCCCTCCAAGAACTCAATCTATCGCCACAAGGTCCTGGGACCGATGTGTTGAGCGGCTTCACTGCCGGCTGCCACAGTGTTATTTTTTCAAGTGTCGGAGCGTGGATTGCGAGATCATGGGAGGTGTTCGGATGTTTAGGTCTTGTCGTCTGTATAACTTGTAAGTCCATTGGGAGTGGAAGGTCGGATGTTGCTACCTGTGGACATATACTATAACCCTAAGCCCGAAACCCTAAACCCCTAAACATAGGAACCCCAAAAGCACATAAACATAAGCTAGCTAAGCCTGATCCTGATCCCTTACAGGGGTACTACCTTGACAGGGTTCTGCTTAGGTGCTGCTTAAAGGATCATGGGACTTAGTAACTGAGGTTATAAACAAGGTAACTATACTTGTAACCCCAATCAGGGTACTTATAACCCTACTTACTAAGTCCCAAGATCCTCCAAGTACTTGAGGTTCCAGAAATCCCTAGAGACCTTTGGCCGCCTTACCCTGAACTCGAATCTGCCCCAATTCGAGGCTGCCAGAGCCGATAAGCCCAAAACCCCAGCCCTTAAACAGGGTTTAGGGTTCAGGGTTCAGCAGCTCTGTGGTCGAGCCATTTTACATAACAGCATCACTTCTGAAAACCACCCACCCACCCATAGAATCCCATAACATTAAGAAAATACAAAGTTCGTTTTATTATTCTTTAGCTAAGTTCTTTTCACAGAGTTCGTTTCTTTCTTCCTTAGCGAAGTTTTATCTACAACTTAGCGTCATACCTTCTCGCTCGTAGTAGTAAGTAATCGCCAGAGACCGTCAAGGATTTCGCATAGCAGGTATGAGTATTTCGTTATGCTTCCGTTTCACAGACTCTTCGCTCAAGTTTACATGCTTTCTATTGATACTTGGTGACGTATAAACGCCAGAGACTCTCGACGCCGTCGCTTGATGGATGTTACACGTTGAACCCCTGATACCTCTAGCTCACGTGGGCTTCGTTTCTTGACGCCTTCGCTAAATGGACATCACACGTAAGCCAAACAAGCTCTCGGCACAGAGTCGAGTCTCTTCTAGACAATCTCCCACAGTTCATTCCCG